TATATCTATTTAAATAGAAGGAAACCCGAATCTAATTCATGATTCACTACAAAACCGATTTGAAATAATTCTGTTTACCCCTCTCTTTGTATTAGGCAAGCAGCTTCATGATTTCGTCGTAAAAGTGGGCCGGACACTTGAAGTTCCGACTGTTTGTGGATATTATTCCAGATTGGCGAAGGACTCGACGCGGAGGGGATCGGAATTTATTGTCCCTATGCCACAGTGGGACGATACGTGGAGATTCAAATTATTGAAGGATTCTCTAACATTCTGACGCCAGCTGAGGTTATTGTATGGGGAAAGTGAAAACTGTCTCATCAGTGACTAAATAAAAATGAATTTACGAGATTTTACATATTTTTCATTTTACTTTTTATTTGCATTGGCGCATCGCAATACTTTTAAGAACCCCTTCTGGATATATTTTTTACAGACTTTATCAACATTTGAATTGCGAATTTAAATTTTAAAAAAAAAATACGAAAGAAAAGAAATTATATAAATTTATAATGAATTAATGGAAAAACAGCTTCAGTTACCTGTTATTTTTCAATATTTTTAAGTCAAACATCGTAGTTAATTAACCGGAAAAGAAGCTGGAGTTAGCTTTATAAGCTTAATTTGTTCATCGTTGTTTTCATCCAAAACAACTGGACCTTTAATGAGGGGTTATCAAAAAGTTCGTGGACTGAAGCTATAAAATTAGTACTATGTTGTCTGAGCTTGCAAAATTTATAAGGAACAGAAAACAACCAAAAATAAAGAAATGTTGAAAATTTTATCTTGATACGTTCATTATTTCCCAAATTATTATAGAATAAAAACGACATTACATGTATATGACCACCGGCTCTGTCGCCGCTTAGTTTCATGACGTCCGACAACGTCATTATTTTTCAATGTCCGCTTCTTCTACCTCGTACACTTATTTTGATGAGATTCCCTAGAGCTGAGTAAGGACTTCAACCCGTCTTGTTTTTATGACTTAACATTATCATGAACAACAGCTTTCAATGCATATTTTATTGCAAATGGATTTATACATTGGGAGAGAATCTCTCTTGATTGTGCCAGCACATTTTGTTTTTTTTTTGGAGTTCAATAAAGCTAAAATACATGATCCACTCATTATTTGACGTGACAGATTTTTCAAACCTTGACTACAAATTGACATTAACTTTGCACCCATTTTCTCACTGAATCTATTTTGGCATTAAAAAACAAATAATCTGGATGCAAAATATTTCTTTGTAGTCATTTTAAACATTTCCTAGGTGTATACCAGTTTTTCTAGGGGCAAATCTTTATAGAATGTTGGAAAAGGAAACCCCTCCCCCTTTTGACGTCATTTTCAAGGCAATATTTGTTTGGAGACTCCATGTAAAATTTACAATAAAATTTCATAGAACTTCCAGAATGAGGTAAAAATTCCATATTTTATGGAACAATAGTGTCACAACACATACCTGAATTACCGGGATTTTTAGATTTCAAATGTTCATATCACAATAATGTATTTAGTTCCACTTGGGTCGAAAAAAAAACGTCGTTTTCGACGTTGCGCCGCCTGGACATACCATTGCTTACAAAAACTTTACTAATTTATCTAAAATTAATTTAATAATTTGTGCTTTGTTCCATAGATAGAAAAGATGATGATTACTAAATATTGTAAAATTCATCGATGTACATTGTACCTGAAGCGGTTTAAATTTTATGGCGCTAGTCCACGAACTTTTTGATAGCCCCTCGTACTTTCTTTTTTTATAACTACAAAGCATTCTTCACTAAAGCGGATTCTTAAGTTCTATTATTCTTTACCTAGTGTAAATTCACGTTTGCCTCAAATAATAGCATTAAATATCTTATGAACCCCAGGCTATATTATTTTTCATAGTATTTTAATATCAATAAACCAAGGTAAGTTCAATCTACTCTGCTTGTGATAGATTCCAAAACTTAAACAAAAAATCCTACGAAAAAAAAAAAGAAGAAATTTTGCTGGTTCTAGTTAAATTTTTCCCACCTAATTAAGTCCTCATCTTTACTCTTTATAAAAATTAACTGCTGTAATATATAAAGGGGACACCACAGAGATACTGTAATACATTATATTCTAAAAGAGGTTTTCATCAATTATTACTCCTTAGAATCTCAAAAGACGTTTAGAACCTAGAAATCACCAATTACTTTTTCTATTCAAAATTCTATAACATCAAAATAACATTGCTATCTATGCAATAATTTTTCACAATACAGTCTACTAGTTTAATAAACTCCATCGTAGGATTTCAACGGTTGATTAAGTCTTTTACTCAAATCTAGACTTCTTGATATTTATTTATAGAAAACTACATCTCTACTAAAAATGGAATTAAAACAAACTTTAACAAAATTATGATTGGTCAGCAAAATTAATTTGACAAAAACCACTTTGATTGTACAAAAGAGTTACTCTGAAGTTGATATAAGAAGTATTGATGCTTGAGTTCCTCAATGACACCATTTACGTAGTCCAGCCGTTTTCAAGCCAACTACAGTGTAGGTAGAACAATACATAAAACTCTGAGTTTGACTGATTGACAGCTGGGAATGCTGCGAATGCTAACTCCTTCAAGGCATCAGATCTCACCTTTGGTATTTCCAGGCTCCGTGGTTTGTGTGTTTACATTCTTTACAAAAGATGTATTGTTCATTGATTTTTAGGTCACCTGAGTAAACTCAGGTGAACTATTGCTATTCGTTTTCGTCCGTCGCCGTTCTTCAAGCGTCGTGCGTCAACATTCAAACATTTTTAGCTTCTTCTCTGAAACTGCTGAGTCAAATTTAACCAATTTTGGCACATAGTATCTAGAGGTAAAGGGGACAACAATTGTGAATTTGGTGGTCCCTGCCCCCCTGGGGTCAAAACCTCTCAAATAAATGCAATCTTCAGAAATCTTCTTCTTTACTCCTGGACGTCAATCAGTCAAACAGTTGGTATGATTGTAATGGGCATTGAGTCCTCTACCAAAATTGTGAAATTCATGGCCCCAGGGTCGGGGGTTCTAATGCTAGGGCGGGGCTAAATAGATAATATAGTGAAAATGCATTATTTCTTTGAAGTTTTTCTTTTCTGCTCCTGGTATTAAATAACATAAGCATGTGTAGAGTTAAGTTATATATGGTTGCCTCTTCTAAAATTGTGAATTTCATGGCCCCAGGGTCAGGGGTGTTAGTGCAAGGGCGGGGCTTTATAGATTATTTAGTGAAAATGCATAAATTCTTTGAATTTTTTCTTCTCTACTAACGGGCATTAATTAAACTAACCAAGCGTATACATGTAGTTATGTTGAATACGACTGCCTCTTCCAAAATTGTGAATTTGAATTTCATGGCCCCAGGGTCAGGGGTGTTAGTGCTAGGGCGGGACTATAAAGATTATATAGGGCTATGAATTTTTTCTTTGAAAGTCTACTTTTGTGCGCTTGGGTATTAAACCAATGAACTATGTACATAGTTATAAGGAGGAAGGATGCCTCTTTGAGATTTGTGAATTTCATGTCCCCTGGGTCAGGGATTGTGTTAGGGCGGGGCTTTAATGTTTATATAATAAAAATGCATGAATTCTTTGAAAATCTTCTTCTCTGTTCCTTGGTATTAAACTAAGTACATAGTTAGGATGTGCAAGAGTGCCTTAACCAAAATTTTATATTTTATGTCCCAAGGGTCAGGGTTTCTGGTGTTAGGGTGGGGCACTATTGATTATATAGTGCAAATGCATTAATTCTTTGAAAATCTTTTTCTCTGCTTCTGGGTATTAAATAAACCAACTAATACATATTTATGATGAGAACGAATGCTTCTTTCAAAATTGTGAATTTTATGGCCCCAGGGTGGGTCAGGGGTTCTGGTGTTAGGGCGGGACTCTATTGATTATATATTGAAAATGTATTAATTCTTTGAAAATCTTCTTCTCTGCTCCTAGGTATTAAATAATCTAAGTACATATATATATAAGTTACTATAAGCAAGAATGCCTCTTCCAAAATTGTGAATTTCATGGCGCCGGGGTCAGGGGTTCTGGTGTTAGGGCGGGGCTCTATAATGATATAATGATTATATAGTGAAAATACATTACAACTTTGATAATCATCTCTTCTCCTGGGTAACAAGCAGATAAACTACCTTTAAAGTTATGATGTGCATGGGCTTTTCCTCCAGAATTGTGAATTTCAAGGCCCCTGGGTCAGGGATACCATAGAAAAAAGGGGGCCTACTTATATTGTAAATGAATTGTTTGAAATCTGCTCTTGGTATAAATCAAACATTTTTGACAAGCAAGTGTGCCTTTTCATAAATTGTGCAATGCGTGGACCTAGGGTTAGGGGTTCATGTGTGGTAAGGGCACTTCTGATTATTGCTGAATATTACTGATTCGTTGAAATGCATTTTTTGTTCCCCTTCCCTGCCTATGGGTATTAAGTAACTAAACTAAGCAAATAATTATTGCTAAGTGTATAGTTGTGATTAGCAATGGTGCGTCTTTCAAAATTGAGAATACCATAGCATATAGCTTAAAACATAAACCAAATTCAATCATTTAAAAGTTGATACTCAGGTGACCTTTAAGGCCTATGGGCCTGTTGTTTTTTAATCGATCACTGCTCATTAGCTTCACATTTTACAAAGAAAAACTTTGATATTTTTGCAGGCAAAATATTAAACAAGGTCATTGTGCATATACCTGAACGAACATATACGTATCTCTTACTTGAATTTAAAAACTATAAACATTTTACATTGTAAAATCAATTTGTAAACATTTGAAGTACATGTAATGTTTATGACATTTAAACAAAGTTTCCATTCCGAATGCTAAACGTATAGTTGTTATCTATAAGTACAAGTATCTTGCAACTTATGTCCTCTTATAATTATTAATTTTACTTCCTGTGATAAAAAAAAACTCCCACATCTGTTACGATTTACCCTGTTTAAAAAAAGACAAAGTACGTTTACGGATTCGAAGTGAAAATATATGTAAGAACCCTTCAAAGAAAGAGTGATCATTCATACATTTAACGATTTAATAATCATGTTTTCCTCTTTATTATTTGTGTTAGTTCTTTCTTTCGATTTTGAAATAAAAAATACACTTGGCCACAACGTTTTTGAAAATGTGGCATATGGAAAATACGCAAGTCAAAGCACAGAACTAGTAGGAGGGCAATTCGTAGCGTCTAAAGCTGTAAACGGCGTTTTTAATGATTTCACCCACACAGATCTTGAAAAAAATCCATGGATTAGAATCGACCTTGGAAGGAACTATACGGTTCATGAAGTAGAAGTGTTTGGAAGAAAAGACTGCTGTGGTATGTAAACCTAAATTTTAGTTTTACTTTTAATTTCCAGTTTGATTTGCTACCACTTTTTGAAAATGATGGGAGCTAATGGTGTAATATCACTTCATTTTACTATTAGTTCTTTTCTTCGTCCTTGCTACATAAATTTAAGAATTTCTTTGTAGGTTACAGTGTTAGTAAAATTGTGAATTACAGATGAAAATAAAATTTGATAACATTCGTCGAAATAGGAGAACATCCCTAATGCAACTTACATGTAGTATTACTTTTGCCATATACGAACAAAATGTGTGTTATAAATGTATTTATTTCAAAATTTAATGTTATATCTAAATTTCATATATGCATATGGCATGCAGTCTGCGTCACTGCATGTTTGTTATTTTACGATACTTTATGTTCACATTTTCAGTTGAACGACTTCATGATCTCGATATAAAAGTTGGCAACGACTTACATGAAATGCACCTATGCGGCCATTTTTCCGGTTCTTGTACCAGAGCCGGGGAACGGATCACCGTATTTTGCCCGTTTAACACAGCCGGTCGATATGTAGAGATACGGATTGTTGAGGGATGGAACAACATTCTGAGTGTTGCAGAAGTCCTTGTGTGGGGACATTTGTACAGTGTAGCTGCAATGTGCAATGTAATGAATCAATTTAATAAAAATACTTTGCTTTATATGCATTTTATGTTTTCTTTTTTTTTTCTTTAAAGCTAACCAAAGTACGTACAAAATAATAAAACAGAGGTTAAAAGAAGCAAAAAAAAATCTATAAGCACTTCCACTAAACTAGCTGCAATGATGTAGCTCTGTCCGATTTTTTTTCATCTAATGTTTTCTGGAGAGGGCTACAATTCCACAGCATCTCCGTAATGGTGCAAAAATATTTTATAAATACGGGTGACTGCAGACAGAATTAATTGTTTTTACATTCAACTTACTTCTAATAAGAAGTTTTTATTCACTGTCGACACCATAGCCTGTTTAACGCAAAAACCATGTAAAATAGATTTGTGTGCCTTTTTCAGCAGCCATTACAGTTCACGCGTGACGTACTGAGACTTGCGCTTAAAATTTAAAATAACTCAATAAAGCAAATGGCGATGTTTATCAATAATTATGATGAATAGTAACACTAAACATCGATAAATAAAATCATTCTATATGTGTTTTTTTTTTCGTAAACAGTGAGATCTAGGACTAAAATAAGGTGATTCCAAAGAAATCCGCTCCCTATAGATCCTTAATCTCATTGGCTGTCCCAAAATAAGATCTGTCAAGGTCAGTAAACATGGCGGATAAATTTAAGTTGTGCTGTTGACATACACGAAAAATACGGATATATGGATTGTTCTGTATATTTTTGGATCGATTTATGTCTGGGATAACTACATTTCGGAAATCCAGGTAAGACATATTAATAAAATACTAAGTGTAGCCGTTTATTGACAATTTGAGCCGAAATCCGTGCGGGAGTGAATCGCTGCCGCATTGCACCATTACGGAGATCCTAAGGAGTTGTATCCCTCTCCCAAAACCAAAAAAAAGGGGAGAGGACTACATTATTGCAGCTACTGCTAAACTACTAAGCACTACATATCTGCAGCGTAAAGGCCCTGTCCCACCAAACTGCGTCCACACGGAGTCATTACGGCGTTGTAAATTTTTTAAAATCGCTGTGGAATCGCAGTAAATTTTGCACAAATGTCTGTAAATTTTTCACAATGTGGAGATGGCGTCCCTACAGTTATTAACGCGTTTCTATGGCTTCGCACGGCGTGCTACTGATGGAAATCGACCTGCGCTTCCGTGGATTTTTCACGGCGTGTAAGGAGTTTTCACCTCGCGTTCACGGCCTTCTCACTGCGCTGCCTGCATTGACAATACGTTCACAATGCGGTCTTCACCAATAGCTATATATTCATCAGAAGACTAAAACATTTTTGTTAAAAGATTCAAGCTACATGATAAAAAGACTTCTCTTGATGCCGAGTAATATAATTCTTAAATAAAAATTTGAAGAAATTAGCACTAAATTGTCAATAGTTTTATTATTTAAATCCTTCTTTTTTCAATGTTATTGATTTAGATGTATTGTTAATATATTTTTTGATTTCATAATGAATGCCCAAAATAAAATGATCGCCGTCCCCTACCGTTTTAGGAGACCCTACGGCGTTCAGAGGAGATCACGGCGCCGTAGGAGTTCCTACTGCAATCACCTCGGTGCTTTGCATTTTTTATGAATGCCGTGAGGAAGCAGTCCCGGTGTGACATGGGTTTTACATAATTATGAAATTTGAAGTTTCTAATCAGTTGATGATAAAGAAATCGCTGGGAAATGCGTTTGGTCTTTCGGGTGTTCTCTTTTGAAGTGCAATTTTTATAATTAAACGAATATATATCGCTTATTAATTATTATAACCATAATATTCGTACACTGTCTTATTCTCTCAAAACAGACTACTTTTTTTGTCTAGTAACTTTTCTAAGATATATAAAAAGAAACTAAAGACAGATAATAAGCAAAGGCAATTGTTTTTTAAAACTAGATCTATTAAGAATTTGGGAATATTGATCAGCTGAAAGAAATAAAAAAAAAAAAGGATATCTTATTAATACCGGCGTGCGTTGTTCCAGAAATTGTTATATATGTGAAAAAACGGTATTTACATAATATCTAGAGAATAAATATGTTTGTTAAAATCATGGATTGGGTCTATATCACTTTTATCCTGGTGCAGCCATTTAGTTTGTTAATACCACTAGGGTGGAATGACTTAAGTCAGTGCATCCAGAACTTTTCCTTTTTTTTTTTCTGAGCCACTGTCCATCTTGAATTTCACCACTGTCACGTCTTACCATTTGTGACCTTTAATGCTGAAATGTTCCAATGTTCCACGACTGGTCATTGGGTTTTTTTTTTGTCCTAATGGTCGAACGTTGATTACTGAGAATCCTGTGGAGATCTCCTCTTTCTCCAACATACTGTTTGGAACATTCTTCAACTGTCGAGGTAAATGCAATTATCTGTTTGACATCCTGTAACGGTGCAGTTAAATCTGTCTGTGTCAGAGCTGTGTGTGCTAACAGAGAAGCCATTTCTTGTCAAAGCAAGTTTTTAAGCCCCGTAAGGTATTTTATTTTTGTTTAATTGATTCTACAGTGTTTTGTTTTCTTCAAGGAAACCCAAAGTACCCATTACAAGGTGTCAATAATATTTTGGACTTCATCAAGAGCAGTCATGCTCTATGTAAGGGATGATTTTAATGACGTGATATGATCACTCTCACATTGTCCTTACTTGAGGATATCCCAAGAAAGACAGAGTGACATCAGTTGTTTAGAAAAGTGTTATATATTCCCAGCGTTCATGAAAGTGTTTGATAATTGACCTTATATTAGGCGTGACTTTAATCTGGAAACTGCTTGGTTCTAATACATGTATATGCAAATAATAACTAGATATTGATTTATGTTTTTATAATCTACATGTTAGTCACGCAGGTACTTATTTCATTTTGTCGTACATCATCCTGAGTTATATGTGCCATCCGTCGATCGTTAACTTATTTTTTAAGATTTTACTTTAGATCATGAACCGGGTACTAAACTTTTATGAATTTTGGCATAGAGTATTTTTCGGAAAAGAGGAACAAATCGGCCTGGATAGTTTAGTGTGTATTGCACATGATGCAGAGGCCCCACTTGCAGTAGAACATTTTCCCCTTTCATGTTTCACAACAAATCGATATGGTTAACGTGATGACTTACTTTTAAATCATCAAGTGAACTTAAATTCCCTTACGTATGCAGCAATATACCCTTATCATCTGCATTCGAGGTTTTATCTTTTTATCTTGATTCGATATGAAAGAACATACTTACTAACAACAGTTTCATTAAAATTTGTCATTTTGTAATGACCTTTGTCAGCAAATAAATCTATGATTAAGTCAAAGTTGACTGACCTTTTTCATACTCATTGTAAGGCAATTATTTACACATTGAATTGTCTACAATTTTTTCTCGTAACTTTCTGATCATGACAAAATACCTGGTGGGTGTGACCGGTTGGCAGAGGATGCTCAATCCTCAATAGAACCTGATTCTATTTCTGTCAATCAACTACCTTTAACTCCCAAATTCTAAGCACTTTTGTTTAATTAATCTGTAAATTTTTCCATCCCCCAACTCTTTATAGTCGTCTCTACACGTGATAAACTCGCTTGATTAAAATTATTTGTTAGATTGCTGAAAATTCACTTCATGCGAGTTTATTGCCTGTAGAGATAACTATAAATGATTGGGAGGTGAATAAAATATACATATTGGCTACAGAATGTGTCTAGAATGAGGGAGTGAAAGGTAGTTAATTGACCAATGCTAGAAAGTGGAGAAATTCTTTCCAAAAGTGCGCAAAAAATATTGCGCCGTCAATTTCACCTTTTTTGTATTACGGGATCTGTAGCGTTATGGTCAAAGACAAATATATAAAACCATAACGCTACAGATCTGCAGCTAGAATTTTTTTTGTTATTTCCATATATTTCATTTATCCTCTAAAAATTTGCTAAACATTTTTTTTGTCACATATAAGGTTTGAGATTCCTTGCAGTACGTCTTAGCATGTAAAGACCACTGTTGCAACCATTATTGAATTAATTATTTCAATAATTATTGAAATAATTAATTCAATAGTGGTTGAGAATGCATTCCAGTACCAAACATAGGTTGCAATCACTATTGCAATCTAACCACTATTGAAATAATTATTTCAATAATGATAAAGAGTGCATTTCAATAACAAATATAGGTTGCAACTAATATTGAAATACGACCACTATTGAAATTCTCATTTCAATATGATTGCGAATGCATTTCAGTAACAAACATAGGTTGCAACCATTATTGAAATACGATCACTATTGAGATAATTATTTCAATAGTGATTAAGAGTGCATTTCATAACAAATATATGTTGCAGCCACTATTGAAATAATATTTACTTTTGAAATAATTATCCAAATAGTGGGCATTATATTTCAATAGCGGTTTAATTCTTATTAACACTATTGGAAGAACACTTACCATTATAGTAAAGTTAATAATAATTTCCCTAGAAATTTTGCTCATACTCTAATTTCTACATCTAGATCTACGGTATTTATAGTCATTTTTTTTCAAAATCAATGACAAAAATGAACTTAGAATAACAAAATTATTTCAAAAATGCATATATTAATTGATTGTCTGCTGGTTTCCGCCAAGTCGGTCAGATTCACCCAGATTCAGCGAGAGATTGATTTTAACATTTGCATACATGTTTGAATTATAGCTAGGTCAGTTTAATAAAAAGTGTCCGTGTATTAACTGAGGTTTCCACAAAAAATGATAACATGAAACAACTTTAGTTACCATATTTTAAACTCAATAAATTAGTTCATTGTGCTTGAAAACAGAATTTGTCATTCATCATCCTTATATTTGTTTAATAGTTGGGATACTTCTATAAAGCTTGCAATGTGGTTTTGGTGTGAAAATGACTGTCAGCAAGTATCAAAATAATTATTTTGATATCTGTTGGATTCATTGTTTAAGGAAAAATTGAAATCAATATTTTAATCATTATTGAAATCTACATTTTAATCACTATAGTATTGAAATCAGTATTTCAAAAGTGAACGTTATTTCAATAGCGGTTGCAACTTATATAT